CATGTGTCCATATATAGCCTTTCTCTGGTCTGGTGGGCACAGTGGGAAATGGTGAAGATCGTGACTTGAAATATTCAGAAGGTGCATGACAGACAAATTCCAAATATTCCATCTTCCTTGGAAGATCTTCCTCTGGTCCTAAAAGGCAATCAGAAAAGGTTAAATACAGTTTAGGGGTGGGGGAGAAATGTGTATACACACACATAATTATCATATTAAACTCCTAAACACTAGGAACAATGAATTACTCTGAAGTTACTGTCCATTAGTGGTTCTTCTATTTTCCTATTTTAATCTGTTTAAGGAACATGAATTATCCCCCAAATAGTTACTCAATATATAATTTTTTTTAAAATAACATTTAAAAATTCCAGTATATATTTTGTATCAACTTTTCTAAGCCTTTTACATATATTAGTATTCTGAATCCTTACCATCGCCTTGAGGTGTGAAGTATTACACCTGTAGTACATTATTACACCTGTAGTACATTATGAGGAATTGCGTTAAGAGAGATGTTAAGGATCTGACTCCTGAGTTCCTGCTCTACTATGGATGGAGCTTCCTCTGGAAATTCAATACTGTTGAGTGACCTACAATAACCTTACAGGGTAGAACAGAACTGCCCTACTGGGTTTCCAAGGCTGCTAATCTTTACAGGAGCAGACGGCCACATCTTTCTCCTATAGACAGTGCTCATGGGTTTGAACTGCTGACTTTTCAATTAACAGCACTGTCCTTCACCAGTGCTTTATCAGGCTCCCCAGCTCTGGAACGTGGATGCACACTGGAATTTCATGGGATTGGAAAAGAGGAGGTGGAAGGGGAGCCCCAGGGGTGATGCTAACATAATCACTGCCTGTGCAGAAAATCCTGCCCTAGAACTGCGGTAGCTGAAATTCCATTCTTCTATTTTCAAACTGCCACACAGGGTTGCTATAAGTTAAAGTAGACTCTACAGCACTTAAAAATACCAACAATATACTTAGAAGGAGCCCCTGGGTGTGGACACCATTTACGAGTTTCACTACTAATCAAAAGTAGGAAAGTTTGAGTTTACCTAAGGGTACCTGGAAAGAAGTCTAAGCAATCTACCTTAGAAAACTCAGTCACCAAAAACTCTATGAAGTACAGTTCTTCTGCAGCACACACGTGTTCACCAGGAGTTGGAACTGACTTGATGACAAGTGGTGGCAATGACTCAGAAAACAAAAACTTTTGACTATGTAGCAAAAATGACATGTATGTGAAAATAATACTGGGTTTTATTTGTCCTTGGGGTTGTTTTTTCTGTAGAATACTTTCCCTTCTAATGCAAAAATAATGCATTTTGTTAAAAATAAGGTTAAAAAGTTCAAGGTAATAAAAATATGAACACTTCCAAAATTGCCTCAAATAGTAATTTCTTATAAAGCTAATATTTGTCTTACAAAAGAACAGACTTAATTGTGTTCAAGAACCCGCACTATTTGTACCAAGAAACTCACCTATGATATATGATGCGGGATCAAATTGGTCTCTGGGGCTAGAGAGAGTGGGAATGAGCCACGTTAGTGCTGCACTTTTCTCACAATATTGATCCTGAATAAAACCTCTGATCTGTGCATAGTAAGGCTTTCCATCCTGTTCATCAATCACGGACACAACATCTCCAATTTGGTAATATACTCCCTATAAAAAACAGAGGATAGATTTGAATTTCAAATGAAAATAGTATGATAGATATGAATTAAAAATTCCTTTGTATGAAAGCAATGGTTTCCAAGTAGTCAATTAGGATCTCTGAGAAGGTCCAATGTATCAATTTTATATGCATGCACCAATTCTAAAGTTGTTTCTCTTTAGAATGAAAAAAATAGATATGTAAATAGTTTTATGACTATTTATATCTGGAGAAAACATTCCTTTATAAAAGCACTTTGATTTTATATTACAACAGTAGTTATCTCCTTGATAACTTATCAGCCTGAGACACTAACTGCTAAGAGGTTAGTGACTTACTAAACTAGCCCAAGCTCCTTTTATGACCAGCATAGCAGTCTTTTCTGTAGTGTATTTAAATACTCAACTGGGATAAAATATATTCCATCCATTTGCCTCTCCAATCAGCAATTACATAAATAAGAAACCATAAATTCAAACTTAAAATGATAGAGACTTTAGTATAATCAGACTTCAGGACAAATTTACTCCCAACGTACTAGCTGCCCTGTCTCTTGTCTGGATTTAGTTTTATTTCTTTCCACAAATTTTGTTCAAGCATATAGATTTGAATACATTATTTTCAGGAACCTCTCTACTGTTTACAGAAAGGACTACAATTACTGGCATTACCAGTATTCAAGCATTCCTAACCCAGTTGCATACAAATTGCTTTACTTCACACTTAACTAATGAATGCACATCCTATGTGTTAAACTCTCCCTTGTCTCTGCCTCTGCTTGTGTAGCCCATGTCCTCTTTTCTTTCTTTTTTTTATAGATGTAAAATATTTTATTTGTAAATGGTGATCTTCTAAATCTGTGTCCACAAATTCCAAAACCCATAACACTCTGTATACTTCAAAAAATTCAATTTTTGCCAACATTAGATACTATTGTACAGAACAGAAAACAAAACAAAAACCTGGTAGGACAAATACTGGTAGGATGTCATAATATTGTACGAGAGAAGAAAAATATTCAAGAAACAAATTTCATACAGCTATTTATCAAGAGAAAAATATATACACTTGCTTTATTCTGTAAGATAAAAATACATCATGCCATATACATTACAAGTTGAGAACTGTATCACTGATAGACCCACAGTTTACAGTCCACCTTATTGTGCACACAAAAAACTTCATTTTACATTTAGCCTTGTGAAGGGTCAGTACCAGAATTTTAAGTACAAAATAAAAAGCTAACTTGTTTCAAAATGCTGATTAAATTTCTACAAGCAAACACAAAACAGTGTTTTTATTTATTTATTTGTTTTATTAAAGAAACATGTCCTCTTTTCTGATCTTCTATGGCAAAGAATCTCTCCTTCCTCAGAACACTGGTGGGTCATATGGCTGACCTGCATCTTCATGTTACTCAGGACTTCCTTAAGTGCCTATAGTTCTTTGTGGGTATACTTTCTTTTTCTGTAGGCACAAGGTCTGAGCCACTGCTGCTTCCCTCAAAAGCAGATCTTCACAGCAGGTAAAGCTGCTGGCTGAACACCTCAATCAAAATAACCATCTTAAGAAACTGTTCCAGTAACTAGGCTGCCTTATAAGTGCCTGTTAATCTGGGACTCTCTCTTGGTGGGCCACTATCTATGTGTCCTAAGAGTTAAACCCTGAATCTACACTTAGACTAGCATAGTCAATGCAAGTCATGGACCAATACTCACTAGAATATCACCATTATCAACTTGTCTTTCCTCCCAGACCCTTACGGAAAGTTCTGTTATTAATCACATAAGTAAGCTGTAAAATGATGGTTTGTTTTGTCCACATTCCCAAATTACAAGTGATTATTCTTGTGCTGGCGCGCGCGCGCGCACACACACACACACACACACACACACACACACACACAGGCCTTGTTTATCACAGGAATTCAAAAATATTAGTACAAAATATGTAGTAGTGTGGAAGTAGAAGAGCAATATAAAGACAGTGTCTTCATAACATATTTCAACCACAAGCCTCCTATTTAGCACAGTATTACAAATGTATGCTGTGTGCATATATCCACCAGTTACTCTGCTGGAGAAAGATGGGCATTCTCCTCCCATGTGATCTACTGCCTCTGAAAACCCGCTGGAAGGTCAGCTAAGAGTTGGGTCTGACTCAGTGGTACATAAGAACCCAACATCCTATCTCTGAACAGGACCACAACACTTAACCTAAGGGATCTCCCACTCCTCTCATTTGCTGGGAGGTTTAAAAATTTCTGGCAGAGAAATGAGGGAGAACACTGGACCATGGGACCATTCTGTCATGTACTCCTGCAGGGAGGTCACATAACCATGCTGGGTGTTGGGCTTATACTCTTAGTCATCCCTTCAGTTCCCTTCAGCTCATCCGTCTCACATACCTGATCTAGACTCAAGTTCAGCCTTTGGCAGGGACCTCTTGAGTTCTCTCAAAACAGGGTTTCACGCCAGCAGCAGTGCTATAGCCTCAGCCAAGCATAGCTTATCTTAGCACTGGAATATTAGTTGCATTTTAGCCCTAATGTTTAATAAGCATGGATCACAGGCATGAAATAATGCAAACAATGTGAAAAAAGTATGCTTGCAGCAACAGATCTAACATGCCCTTTCACTGAGATAAGCCTGGAAATCTCTAAATCCTTAGCTTAACCAGATGCACCTGGAGTTACAATGCAACTGGATTACTTGTGAAGATAATGCATACATTTAAAGAAGCAATAATGATCATTTCACTATACACTGACTGCTTACTTTCCAAGGGTTTAACATACATAATATCACCTGGTCCAGGTATTTACAATACCTATTTTACAGATAAAAAAAAAAAGGTTACAGAGGTAGTCTAAACCTAGACACACCGCTACTTGCCCAAGTAGTGGAGTAAGATCTGCCCTAGGATCTGAGCTCTGTACTTGGGGCTCTGGCATCACATTACCTCCCACTATGACCTGCTACCTGTGAAATCTTACTGTTGTTAACATGCTGGTACATCAAGTCTGACTCAAAGCAACTCTATATATAACAGATTGAAATCCTACCTGGTTCTGTGCTACCCTCATAATCTCCAATGCGCTTCGGACCCATTGTTGCAAGTCCATATGTCAATCTACCATGTTGGGGGTTTTCCTTTCCTCTGATCTTCCACCTAGCCAAGCATGATGTCCTTTTCTTTTTTTTCCTATTCAAACCTTTTATTCTGTTATTGTTGGTGCATGAGGAAAACTGCTTTGCCCGTTAATTCATGGTGCCCTGGACTTCTGACACCAACTTGTTATTTGATCAACTGGGAACCAGACCAAGCCATTTTCTTCTTAGGTCTGGTCAGCTGATAAGTGGCACTTATGTAACTGATGCTTTCTTTCATATAACCTTTAACAAGAACTCGTATGTTGCGTTGATTATGCCCCAAGAGATGAGGGACCGGTGGTAATTCAGATGGGCACCTCTGAAAAGATTTGCCAACTTCCTGTTCCGTTCTAGCCAGATTTTTTTTAAAATCCTGGGGAAAGACTGAAATTCCCCACCAATCTGAGACTGCATGCGGGTCTTTACAACATTAATTGGAAAAAACAAGAATCCCACAGATGTAATAGATCTGATTCCTATGCATACCATCAGGTGAAATCCAGGTATATAACCTGCGTTTATGTCTCTTAAAAAATGTATTTGCTATGAATAAGTCATTGATTGTGCAAAATTCGATCATTCTCTCTCCAGCTCCATTTCTGTCACCGAGTCCATGTTTTCCAACTACTGAATCTTCTTCTTTGTTCCCGACTTTTGCATTCCAGTCACCCATTATTATCAATGCATCTTGATTGCATGTTCGATCAATCTCTGATTGTAAAAGTTGGTAAAAATCTTCTATCTCCATCTTGATTGCATGTTCGATCAATCTCTGATTGTAAAAGTTGGTAAAAATCTTCTATCTCCTCTTCCTTGGCTCTGGTTGTTGGTGCATATATTTGAATGATAGTGGTATTCACTGGACTTCCTTGTATGCGTACAGATATTATCCTGTCACTGACAATATTGTACTTCAAGATGGATCTAGCAATTCTTGTTTTGAAGATGTCAGGATTGGTGGCCTCTTTTCATGAGCTTCTGAATCCATCATGTTGCTTAAGATCTTTCTTCTTTATGAAGGATTTTAACCCATGGCCGTAGCAGTCCCGGCTCCTCGTCCCAAGGCCACCCACCTGCAGGCCGGAAGGCGAGTAAGCATGATGTCCTTTTCTAACGACTGTCATCTCCTGGCAACATGTCCAAAATATGTGAGATCAAGTCTCAATATGTGTGACTCTGAGGAGCCCCTTGGTACCCTTCTTAATCCTCAGTGTCCTCACCCACAAAACAAAAAAAATGAGCATCAAGGATCCACATCATGGAGGGGACTGAATGAAAGAAAGCACATAAAAGCCTCAGCTCAGTGTCTGATAATACAAGTATGTAATAATTTTTAAATTATTAACTCTTTATAAAACGCTCAAAATACGAAATGTTTGCAGATGGTCACGGACCATATATAAGGATTTGTGCTAATAACAGCAACAAAATACACATAAGGGGAATAATCACTTGAGTGTCAATGTGTTTGGTTCACTTAGTACTATATGTTAAGAAGGGATTTCAATGATGGTAATGAGGGTTCAGACTCCAACGCATCAAAAAGTCTTTCACATATGCTGCCTGTACTGGGTCTCCTAGGCCTTGGTAGGATTTTCAATGTTCCAATGCCTTTTTTAAGACTGCTGGGTTAAAAATAATGCTGTTTTCACTCTCACTGAGTTATCAGATATCCATGGGTTTTGGTCGTAGGAGTCCTGCTATTCTTACTCTTTTATCAAGACATCCTGGTCTCTGTCCAGGATCACTCCCCACTATTGCCCTTATTCCTCTCACCCTTGCTTAAAGCAAAAAAGTCTTTGTGCTTTAATTCTGTTCTTTGTTCTGCCCAATAGATATTATGGATCTGCCATTCACTCTCAACTCTTGCCACCAACTCTTCTAGCAAGACTTGATCTTAACCAGCTCTCTCACATGCAGTTACATTTTAAAAATTATTCTTATAATATACATTAAAAATACATGTTGTTATGTGCCGTCGAGTCGCCTGCAACTCATAGCGACCCTATGTACCACAGCCCTAAACTCCGCTCTGTCCTGTGCCAATCGCACTGTCTCTCACACTCTCATCCCAATTATCCCAGTCACTGAATCAATCCACCTTATAGTAGGCCTTCCTCTCCTGCGCTGTCCCTCCACCCTCCCAAGCATGATGTCCCTCTCCAAGGACCGGTCTCTCCTTACAACATGTCCAAAGTATGTTAGACGGAGCCTCAGAATCCTTGCCTCCAAGGAGCCACCCGGTTTAACCCTTTCCAGGACAAATCTGTTTGTTTTCCTAGCAGTCCATGGTATTCTCAATACTCATCTGGCCCTCGCTCATTAGTGTTCAAAGCCTCAAACCTGTTCCTGAGATGGTTCTGAAATTCAGGTGGGATAGACTCAAAGTCATATTTTGGTTCCCTTGGATTTGGTTTAATTTTCCTCAGCTTTAGCTTGAATTTGCATATGAGTAGTTGGTGGTCCGTTCCACAATCAGCTCCTGGCCTAGTTTTCACAGCTGATATTGAGCTTCTCCAGCGGTTCTTTCCCCATATGTAATTAATCTGATTCCTATGCATATCATCAGGTGAAATCCAGGTATATAACCTGCGTTTATGTCTCTTAAAAAATGTATTTGCTATGAATAAGTCATTGATTGTGCAAAATTCGATCATTCTCTCTCCAGCTCCATTTCTGTCACCGAGTCCATGTTTTCCAACTACTGAATCTTCTTCTTTGTTCCCGACTTTTGCATTCCAGTCACCCATTATTATCAATGCATCTTGGTTGCATGTTCGATCAATCTCTGATTGTAAATTTGGTAAAAATCTTCTATCTCCTCTTCCTTGGCTCTGGTTGTTGGTGCATATATTTGAATGATAGTGGTATTCACTGGACTTCCTTGTATGCGTACAGATATTATCCTGTCACTGACAATATTGTACTTCAAGATGGATCTAGCAATGACTTTTTTAACTATGAAAACAACTCCATTTTCCCTCACTTTTTCATCTACTTAAGCCTCAGCTCTGGATATTTCCTAAACACCACCTATAGGAGCAAAACAGCTTAAAAGAGAACAAAAAGTAAATCCTATTTTATACAGAACAGCAGAGAAATTTTGCCCAAGCCAGCAATTTAGTAGTATATTCTCTAGTTTTATCTCCAAATCTTATGTCAGTAAATCTATAGATGCTTACCTTGTAGAAGATTGATTCTGCAGTGATTATTGTGGAAACTGATTCTGGAGCTTTGATGGGCTATGAAGAGTAAAACAAAACCCTGAGTACAATCACAGTTTGAAAAATATTTTCTAGTTATATATAAGAATTCTTTAAGAAATACTAAAAGGGAGTTCTGGTGGCCTAGTGGCAAGAAGCTGCACTGCAATCCCAGAAGTACACAGTTCAAATTCACCAGATGCTTTGCTGGAGAAGGAGGGGCACCAGTCAGATCTAATCTGATGGTACACACACAAAAAATAATAAAGCAAAATTTAAAAAAAAAAGGAAATACTAAAATATGCTAGTGACAAGAATAAAAAGAGATACAATTTTCTGAAAGTCTGACAAAGCAGTGTACACATTTCTACCAATAACTTCTGTAACTATTAGCCTAAAAATCACTAAGAAAAGGCCAAGTGTCTAATTATGTGGCTGAAATTCAACATTAAGCCCTCTCAGAACTTTACTATTCAGTAACATTCCAACTATAAAAATACTGGCTCTAATGATGAGTATGGCAGAAGTGAAAGTAATTAAAAAAAAAGTGTCGGCAGAAAGGAACATAAAGTGGAAAGAAACATGTGACCTGAGAGACATTTTCCATTTCAATTTAATGGAAACTATGGAACTAGCTCTGAAACTCAGCAGCATCAGAACTAATTTTTCTAGAAAGACTTAACTAAGGATAAAAATCTTTCCTGGGAGCTCTTCATAAGTCTATTACCATCTAAATATAACTGTAATTCCTTCTTAAAGCGCTGTATACACTCCCTCAACCCAAGCAAAACCCATCCCTCTTCCCTCACCATCCTTATAAGAGGAGTTGCTAGAGAAAGTGATAATGAAATTAGAGAACATGTTTTACCATACTGAGGAGAAAACATGTATGAAAATGGTATTATCTAAGTAAGTGAATATTTACTTAAAAAGATAACGTCTAGCCCTCATTTTAAGAAAACTATAAAAATGTTAATAAACAACAATTATTACCTACCACCTGTCCCTTTTGTGCTTTTTAAGTAAATGTGCTGTGCTCAACTTCAAGAGGGGTTTTGTTGTCAAGTAAAGCATGCTAGTTCTGAAAGGGCTATCAGGCCGAGGTTTCTAAACAAATCTATTATGTACTGTACATTGTGACTACTGTCCCCCTTAAGTAAACATAAGAATAATGCTTTCTACTACTTGCAGCACTTCTTTTGAAATAGTCCCTTCATCACTTAGTGAGCTCTGTGGCCTAGTGGGTAGAGAGTTGTGCTACCACTGGCTCTGTAGGAGACAGATGTTTCTTCACTGTTTTGCAGCAGAGAGTATTTAAAGAAAAATTTAAGAACGTTTTGGATCCATAGTCAACAAACTCATTATAAGTCAGTAAGATAAATTTTCAGAGGCTGAAACAACAAGCAAATATGGAAATAAGTATTATTATGTATTTAAGTCTTTAAAGAATGTAGTATGTTGTTGTTGATTGCCTTCGAGTCGAGCATGACTCATAGCCACCCTATGAACAAAAGGCCTGAAGCCCCTCTACAACTATCAACATTTATCTAAGTTCATAGAGTTTTTGAGGGCATGTTATTTAGGAAGTGGATGCCACTCCTGCTATTATTATTATTATTTATTTAGGTCTTTAAAGAATGTAGTATACTAGAAGCCATAATTCCTTCCCTTCCTTTGCATACTCAAAAAAGAAATATTCATGCTATTTCTTTTCGACTCTATTTCACATTTTCCAAAGGAAAAAATTTAAATATGCTATAAAAAAAGAAAGGGGAGAACTCATTCTAGTCTAAGGAGTCTGGGCCATACTCCCCAGAATACTACAGAAAGGGACCTAGGAGCAAAATGTTCAAGTTCAATCACTGATTTTAAAAAAAAAAAAAAGGCATTGTTAGATTCCCACCAGACAATGATAGCAAAAGAGATTGTCCACAAACATCTTACATTTTTTAACTTAAAAATATGTCTTCTCCCTTTTCCTTTGGTGGAAACTTTCTTTTCAGCAGCTGGAGCAGACTTGTACTTAGTATTTCTGAGCCGAGCAGACCTCCGGTGAATTTCCTGCTTACTCTGGTACATAAAGAAAGAAGAGTAAGAAATAAAAATGGGAAAGGAGTTGCTGTCCTCAACACAACCACCTTACAAATATCTTAGAGAAAGTACTCTACAATGGCATTTCACACACACACACATATTTCAGAGAAAGTACTCTATAATGACATTTGACATTTCACCCACACCCCCGCTAGGTAATTACAAAACTGGACCAACAAAGCCAGGGAATGCTCTGGGCAAACACCTCAACCACCAAAACTGTAAACTGCTTACAATACGGCAGGGGGCAGAAGTAGGTTTAGGCCAAAACCATTTAGTAATAATAAATACTACTCACAACTCCCCAGTGCCAGAGAACCCATTAAAAGTTACAGCATCTCTTACAAGGCAATATTTATAAAGCCACTTAAAATAATGACATAATAATCATACTTTATGATAATGACAAGCTTTATTAATGGGGAAAGAGGTCTAGGGCATACAACATATGCAGCTCGACTTCCTGTCTCTGTATAAAATGCATATGGAGATGTCTGGATGTTCCCCCAAATACTACAGTAGTGAGATTTCTGAAGGGTTTTTGTTTCCCTGCTTCTTTATACTTTGAATTTCTCACAATAAAAAAAAAAAGATATTTAGAATAGCCAATACCAATGAAGGTCTTTTCATCTGGGGGTGTGTAGGGGGCGGCACGGCCCAGGAGGGGCATCGCGATCCGGGAAGGCCCCGACCACCGCCCCCTCC